CTTCAGCACTTGTATTATATTCATATCTGATTTAATCAGTGTTGAAATTGTCTGTACAGGAATTTCTTATTAATATAATTATTGAATTTCTTTATATTGATATTGTTGAGTTGTATATATATCAGCTATCTATTATTGTTGTAATTTTAACATTATCTATAGTCACTGCAGTACTATGTCTATACTTAGACTAGCTACTAAGACTATGAATTTTATATTTAATCTTATTTAATCTGATCTTATACATTTCTTAACATGAATCTCACTGAGACTAATCATTAAAAAAACATACAAAGTGACTATTTATCAGATCTTAAAATAAGACTATGACTTAGAAAAAATAAGAAAGTGATTTTATTTAATCTCATTTAGTCTCATTCTTGATATAAAGTTATTATTTTTAGACATTTTAAGGTTTTTTTTAGACTATTTTTAATTTTTTAAAAAGTAACACTTTTTGATAACACTTAAATGAAATTTAAAGTCATTTAAAGTAATAAAAAGAATTTAAATTGAGAAGTGAAAATTATAATCTTATTTGAAAAATGTAATAAGAGTAGATAGTAAGTCTTACTGAAATAGTATAAGACTACTATTTAATCTTAAAACTGTGTAATAAGATTAATTAAAATAGTAATGAAATTATTAAATATTCTGATTCTGATCTGAGATACAGTCACACAGTCAGTCTATCTATACTTGTGTTTAAGAGTTATCTTATATTATCAGTAGATATAGTTATATTATTTATTAAATATGTAATATTTGCAGAATCAGAAGAAGTATAATCATATAAATATTTTATATATCTAAGATATGAGAAATCTTAGATCTTTCACTGACATTTTCTTTATAAGTTCTTATTCTCTTTGTGAGATCTTGTTGCAAGATCAGAATGACTGATAAGTAAGCTTCTATTTAGAGACTCAGTATTCACTTAACTAATTATTCATTTCTCTACTTTTTACATGTTATTACACATTTAGATATCTTTTCAATGAATAATCATTTCTAATGAGAAGATAATGAATGTTTTTCAAGTGTAGAGAGCCTACTGTGGCGGGCTGCGCCTGATCAATCATATAGACTATTCCATTACACTTCATAGATTCCTGCTGAAAGCTCCGATTCTCGGTCGCCGATCCTCGGCCGAAGAACCCACGGAATTCCTATTCTTCCGCCCCGAAGCTCCACCTCGGACGCGTATAATTATCCACTCTGATCGCTGATTCCCGCACTTTCTCTTTTTTTCCTTCTCTAACGTTTTCCACTTTTGTTATATAAGACCTATATCTATACCGATCTATTCGGCGTAGGCCTCTTACACCTACACTGAATAGATTAATATTAATATATAGGTCTTATATAACAAAAGTGGAAAACATTAGAGAAGAAAAACAAAAGAGAAAGTGCAAGAATCAGTGATCAAAGTGAATATTTATACATGTACAAGGTGGAGCCTCAGGGTGGAAGAATAGAAGCTTTTGAGATGAAAACAATAGGAACTCTGTGAGTTCTTCGGCTGAGGATCGGCGACTGAGAATCGGGGCTTTCGGCAGGAATCTATGAAGTGTAATGAAATAGTCTTATGATCGGGCGCAGCCCGCCACACTTAGTCTGAGTATTCTGTGAAGCTTTTCTGTTTTCTCTAATATTTCTGTATTCATTGCTCTTATTTTCTTGACATAGTCAGATCTGTGAGAGAGTTCATTCACCAGATTTCTGATTTTCTTGATATACTCTATCTTGAATCAGAACTTATATCACTGAATGAGATCTGCAAGATTGTGTCTTCTATTCTAATCAGGTTTTGAAAGCACTTAACATATTGCTTCGCTTCGCTCCGCAAATTAGAAAATAAAAATTCATATTGAGAAGATTGACAACTTGATAATAATAATGACAATGATAATGATAATTGTGAATGTAAATCAGAAAAGATAATATGAATAGAGAAAGATTTAGATGAAGTTGACAGTCAATCTGTCTCACTACTGACTTTTATTCATGATTTCAGTATCTTTCATTCTCACAACAATAATATGAGATATAAGACTAACTTCTTAAAAAAATGTTGACATTGATTATTAGGTTGATGAGATTAATGAGATTGATTATATCTATTCTACAGCAGATGATGAAGTGTCAATCATTATAACTGCATGTCAATTCTGTGTATGAATTCATGTGGAAACATCGCATGTACAGATCCACCTGTGTGATAGTGATGTTAATTAAAAACACCACTGAATGTTAATTTACATGATGTTAAACCATATAAGGAAGGGAATTACTGCGAAAGGTGCTTGCAGGATCCCTCTAATACTGCAGAGGTCGTATGCAGCTAGTTGTTTATGACCCGCGAAAGAGTGCATGGCCGGCGAATGAATATTTAATATATCTACGTAGTAAGGAAACCGAAGATTAAAGAAGAATGATGATATTTCTGGTTTTACTTCAACTAATCGAACAATCTGAGAATATAGAAAGAATAGCGTGCGTGTTCGGATCGTAAATCCCCGCTCAGACAATCGCAGCTCAGCAGCACAGGAAACTGGCGACATCGCAGATCACAACGATTAGTTATTCCGTCCAGGACCGCGGTCGACCATTCAGCATCGAATCAATACCCTCCGCGGAAAGCAAAGTTGATCACATTGTCACCCAGAATTTTCCCAAAAAACCCGGTAGACTCCCTCTGTCCCGGAAATGCCCACTCAGATATTATCCAACAGCTGCATCGGCAATGCAGTTGAGGATGCGTGCGCCGTGATCCGATGCGAGTAGCCGATTGAACGAGGCTGAGCCATGTAATAAGTCTTTCCGGCGTTCTTTAAGTGTGATTTTTTATTCATTAAACTTCATCTCCTGGCTCTACTCTTTTGAGACTGAAAGGGATATTTTCCTGCTTTATTCTTCCGTTATACACCATTGACAGATAACCGTCGCAGGCGAGAAAAACTGCCTGGATGAAGACCATACATAAATCAAGTCACTGAATACCCACGAGCCACAAGGTCCTAAACTATCCTTCGCTTACACCATCCAAACAGTTTCCAATACCTCTTTTTATTTATTTATTTATATTTATTTATTTTCTATTTTGTGCGGCCGAGATTCTAGCAATACGCCAATACGTAGGTTGAAACTTGTCTGCGAGGTTGCTGCAGCTTCTTCATACAATCATAACGGCATCATTCAACTGGCAAGCCATTCTGAGCGGTGCAGCCAGGATGGATCTGCCTATTGTGTGCGATGTAGGATCAGCCTGCTCCTTCTGACTTCCGTCCCCAACCGGCGAGAACTGCCCATTGTGATACTACCGCACTCGGAATAAAATAACAAGCAGCTGCTGATTAAAAGGATTGGAATGGCAGGATGAAATCCAGGAATCTGACCTCCAGCCACGACGTGGAAGCCCGTGAGTCCCTCCTCCAACCCCTAAAAGAAAGTCTGCAGACTTACGTGGGTGGGATAGTGTGTATATAAATGGTCGCAACTGCTAACCCTTTACCGTTAAGATGTAGTGATACTTCATCAATAGCTTCCACTGTATTTAACTACAGGTGAGGGGGAAATCTTTGCATCCGCATCCAGCATCGTCTAGTTTACCCTACCTACGATGGAGTGAAGTGATGCTAATGCCGTGTTCTATATTCATTTCAGGAACGAGGTAAGCTGGCAAATGTCCATCAACCATTGGAAAAGGACTACGATCATTTGGCATCATGATATTCACAATGCAATCTTGGCGGTGCTTTCAGAATGGCCGGCGATATCACAGATTGGAAGATGGAGCATACTTTTTGGTGCGCTATTTCATCCTCTATCCATTTACCATATATCCCTGTTGTCTGCGAATTAACATACCATACACATCAGCCAAACGACAAACGGGAGCAAGACCGTATGGACTTGGTATGTGCATGTTCCATTCTCTTTTTGAGGTGATAATCAAAATCACTAACCATTCTTGCAATATCTAGTTACACTTCATATACCGCCATGTATTAGATCGCCGTCTGTACTGCGCTCCGATAAAGCGAAACCCTGGACGAGTACTTGATTTAGGTACGGGAACAGGGAGTTGGGCAGTTGAATTTGCGGAGTGAGTTCCATGCCCTCCCGGACGTGCAATTGGTCAAATCTTGTGGTGGTTGAGTGAGGAGAAGGAGCGTGCGAGGACTGAAAATTCCAAGAAGCAAAAGGAAGACGGAAACATAGAAATTGCCTTGACGAAATGCACTATGAAGCTAACTCTGTTTATTAATATGCATGGCAGCCAGCACCAGAAGTCACAAGTTATCGGTGCGTGAAAAGAAATGTCAAAATGAAACAAGACCAAGAGATAGATGGGACGGACCGTAGGTGGACGAATCCATCAGACGCTAATAAATAATAGGGATGGACATAAGCCCAATCCAACGCATCCACATACCCCCAAACTGCACCTTTGAAATAGACGACTTCGAAGCCGAATGGCCATACACAGCTAGCGCGAAAGCCGACACACCTCCCCTTGAACAAACCGCCTCAGCCGACAGTCTCCAAAGCACCGGTTGCGCTAGCACCATTACCAATGACGTCTACAATAACGATGCCCCGTCTGCTCCCGTACCCACCCCAGATCCTGCCCACAGCCCCTTTGACTTTATCCACATGCGCGAAATCGCCGGCTCAGTCCACGACTACCCCAAACTCTTCGGACAGGCCTACCGCCACCTAGCCCCCGGCGGCTTCCTGGAGGTGCAAGGCATGGAAACGAAGTTCTTCTCAGACGACGGGACGCACGAGCGGGCCGTGACGGCTACGCAGTGGCAGCAGTTGCTAGAGGAGGCGAGTCGGCAGGTTGGGAAGGAGTTAGGTGTTGAGGGGAGTTGGAAGCAGTGGATGGAGCAAGCGGGGTTTGTTGACGTTGAGGAGGTGGTGTTTAAGGTATGTTGTAGGCTCCATTGAGAAACTCCGGGTTTATGAAATAACCCTGGGTTATGGATAGTTGAGGAGGAGTGGACGTGGGAGGGGATACAAGACTTGGACTAACTGGCCAATAACAACGAACCAGGTCCCTCTCTCCCCCTGGCCCCAGGACCCACGCTTGAAAGAACTAGGTCGCTATCAGGCAACCCATGTCCAGGAGATGATGCGGTCATATTCGCTTGCGCTCTTCACTCGAGTGTTGGGGTGGAGTAAAGACGAGCTTGATGTCCTGCTGTGGGCGGTGGGTAACGATTTGAGGAATAGGGGGACCCACCTTTATACGAAGCTGAGGGTCGTCTATGGACGGAAACGGGAGTGAATTTTATTTTATTTTTTATTTGTTTATTTATTCATTTATTGGTTCGTGGTGCTTTATTTCGGGAATACTTGACGAGTCTCTTTTTCTCTTGCGCAGATTGCGTTTGTGGTAGGGGGTTCTTGATACCCTTGCAATAAGGGGGAGATTGGAATTTTCAAACAGATGAGTAAAGTTATCAAAACTAAGTAACTATGAATTTGTTTCTATTAATGTAAAAAGTTGCTCTCCAGCAAATGGATATATGGATGGCCAGCCCATCTCTCAGAATCGTCCCATTGGGAAAGTAAAAACGAAAAGGAAGGGGAAAAGGGCAGCATTAAAAATTAGTCCTCGCAAAATTTAATACATCGAAGGAGAGAAAAAGTTATTTCGTTGGGAATGATAACTTTTGAAAAGCCACACTGGCAGTTTCTTGTCTATGGGGTATCGTATCCTCGCGTGCACGGGCATACTAATGGTACGTATGTATCCATGTCGATTAAATTACGTACTGATTCTTTTGTCAGCTTATTTTGAGCAAAGCGGCTGGAAACAACAAGATAAAAAGAATACTTGTGCAACTTACGGGAATAAAGAGGTAAGGGACCTCCTTCTCATACTGGGTCCAGGCTTCTCCGTACTTCTGCCTGCAGCGTTGAATATCTCGAAGCGCACGATGGCTGATCATGGTAGCGAAGAAGACAGGGTAGAACCAGGGGAAAGGACTCTTAAATCCAGTCACCAAGCCCCAGCTCATAGCGAAAAAGAGATCGCAGGTGTAATGGATTTTCCGGGCATATCCATCTAGAAAAAAAAGGAAGAAAAGGTTAGCTGGAAGAAAAGTACAGTAACTGTGGGAATGAGATTTAACATACACCACCCATCGGCCAAAATCGTATGGCCATCCTTGGACGTGATAGTCCGAGGATTTTGGACAGTTTGCCAAGGTAGTTGTGGGAAAGTCTTCCTATAGGTAATACCGCCCTCCCGTTGCTGTCGGAAACGGTTCTTCTGGCTGTTGGTCGTGTCCCACACCCAGTAAACAAACAGATAGACAATTAATAAGGCGGCAAGCAAATATCTGTTCATTCGGTAGGTATCTGGGTGGTGATTCGCAAGATAGATGGTGCAGTGGCAGTAACTCAGAGGAACACCAGCAAGATTCCAGAAGATAAGCATAAATCCCCATTTTTCGTAGTACATATCCCTATAGGCGGTATGTTAGCGACTCCCACTTACGACTGCTTGCTCCCAAAGCATAATTGGTATCAGGAGCGGGGAGAGGAGTTACGAACCATGTGGATATGATACATTCTTCGCCCTTCGAGCATGCATTGGCGTACAAATAATGCGCCATCACTAAGAACGCAACCTCGCCAGAAACATAGCCATAGGTCTCCCACTGTCTAGCCGCAGCTCCCAAACTAATCAGAAATAGAATATACCAAGGAAGTCGGACCTCAAAAAACATTTTGAAATCCAAGATTCCAAATAATCTCGGGTTGAGCTCAGCACCCATGAAGAAGTCGTAAATGGGGTAGCCACTCATGCGATGCTCAGCACCACGAACTCGAGCGGAGATATAAGCGATGATGGAAACAATGAAACCGGTCAAGATGGCAACGCTCATCAAGGGGCCAAACTCATCAACAATTGTATATAGTTTGTACAATCCACTAACGTGCAGACCAACGGCAACAGCAATCGTAGTGTAGAAGGACGCATATGCAGAGCAATAATACGGCAATTGTTTTCCGCCCAAATGCTCCAATTTTCGGCCATTAACATAGATGCCGGGGAGAAACAAATAACACAGTCCCTCAAAGATAAAGAAGGTCCAGTATGTGATCCACGCTTTGGTGCTAGGGAACGCGCCCTCATACGCGAGGTTAACCAAATGAAGCCCAAACTCTTTCGCAGTCTGCCCTTCCTCAGGCAATGGCATGCGTCCACCATAATATGTCGCGCCAATCCACATATAGTACATCAGCAGCGGGAATCCAATCATCATAGATAAACAGCCTAGAGACCCGCCAAACTCGAAGTGGCCCGATTCATCGATTTTGTAGTTCTTCGGGGTGGTCCCGTTGGCATTAGCATCGTTGACATGTCCATTGGCGGGCTTCTTGTCATCGACGAGGTTATCCACGACATCACTGTTTTTTTCCTTATCGGCGGCACGCCTCCTTGCAGTTGAATTGGATGTCAGTGGATTCACGAGGATTAGGCTCGAAGATGCAGAGTTGGAGACTTCGGTGTCCGCACTCAGGTCGGGAGTCATGGACGCACGACTTCTGGTGACACGACGTGGTGTCTCTACGAAACCCTCACGCTGAATTTTCCTAGGTGCAATCAAAAGTTAGCGGTGGCAATAGGGTGAAGATCAACTCAGGAGATCCTGGTTTCAATTGAACAGCAAGACGTGCTGCGTTACGTGGAATGCGCCCAGGGCGTGCTTACTTGGGGGTTTTCCCCGTCTGTGAGCGAGTGACGGTCATAGTGACGCTAGTGGGAGATGGGCGTCCAGCGTCAGGAATAGGAGAAGATGGAGAGGACGGAGAGGAATAAGGGAAAAAGAAAAACAGCAACAGCAACCGCGACAGCAAAGTTGAAGGTGAAGTTGTCCTCAAACCCGAATGCGGCTAAAAGAGGAAATCGCGAAAAATCCGTGGTTCAATTTTAACTTTTGAAAAATAACGGAAAAGGATACCGCTAGTATGAGCTAATATGCGAAATTAGCGAGTTATAATCGCTTGCTATAAAACAGAGGGGTCTTAATTTGTATTACCCCTGTATTTGTTTTTTTCATGCATTTTGAGGGTAGTCCCAAACCAGAAGTGTGTTTACATGAGGCTGCAGCATCTTCCAATCTATGCAATCTATAATGCTTTGGACGCTGCCTTCTGCAAAACGGAGAATGTCGTGATTGATGCTAAAGTATCATGAATTCTGCGTGGGCAAAATATCAACAATTGGCAAATCAGAATTCCCTTGAGGTCCCTCAGAACATAAGGATGAGATACAGGGTAAGCTGGCAGGTGAAGCATAAGGCGTCGATGATTGGATGAACTGTGAGCCCGACAGGCGTTTTATTTTATTCTGAACTCGAAGAAAAAGAGCTAACCTCCGAATTAATCCATATATATCCCCACACACCAGGCCCGGCCTCGCTCCTACAGCCCAAATATTCAGTAGTAGTAGCGAATCATCAGTATATACCACCAGAGCGACAACTTGTAAAAAAAAAAAAAAAAAAAAAAAAAAAAAAAAAAAACTTCAAATCTTCTCATGTACGTTTATATTGAAAAAATAATTTGATAGAATCTTGGGCAAAAGTATACAGTAAGCACTGTACAAGCAGTGAAAGCCCTACGTCACACCTCTCTCCCCAGGCTTCGCCACTAGTAATAAAACCCACCAGCAGCCGAACACCAACCAGGTTGCCTTCCCCTTTATGTAACTCGGATGTAGTCAAAGAGACATCCAAAATTCCTCTCGCATCGGTGCACGTAGAAGCAAACACTCAATGGTCTGTCTTCGAACCTTAGCAGAGTACTTAAAAAGCGCAGACTCCAGAAACTCAAACCGTGAGAAACAGACACCACGCAATACAACATATTGCAAGCGAATTGAAATATGGCAGCGCATCCATGACCGACCACAGGTATGGTGGCGGAGACCCTCTCTGTGATGTCTATATCGTGCCAAACAAACACCCCCAATCTAGGCCAGCATTTTGATGTATCCGGTCAGAACTAGGTCCAGCATGCGATGTACCACATCGTAAAATAAACGTGCGTGAACAAGCAATAGATAAGAAGACGAAGAAGGGGGTGGAAGCTAAAAGAAAAGAAGCACTCATGCATTCGTGAGCTCAGCGCATGTAAGTTATTATCTCACATCTAATAACACAAGCGGAACGCCTGGCTTCCAGGGAAGATAGATAAGAGGGAAGCGTGCAGCCTCTAACCGTTCTCTTATCGTCCCTCGCTCCTCCGCCGTGCTCCGCTTGTCACATCTACCCGTATAATCGAGCGTCCAAGCCACCGGAGCAAAATTCCACATCAAGCACTTCATGTGTAGTGTCCGTACATAACCAACCCAGCCAACTATTTGGATTCGCTCAAAATAAACAGATAGGATGGGGGTGGTAGTCCAATGAGGGACAACGAAAAACAAGTAGGGACGGCACTGTATTCAGGATGAGCAACAGAGTTCTCATAGCATTGAAGGCAGGTGGGTAATAATAATATATAAATATAAACAGATAGATCTATAAAAAAAGACCTTCTCACAATCATTCGTGGAGAGCGAATCCACTAGTGAGACAAGAGCTCATTATGCAAAATACAGAAAGAGGCTAAAAGGAGCAATATAAGAAAAATGGGGAACAAGTCCAAGGAGAGTAAGATATGTAGAGCAGGATAGGCTTTGACAAAAGTCGCTATACTGAAAGGGCGGAATGAGGAAAAACATTCAATATCGTCAAATTTGAATACTGTCAAGCAGCCCGCCGAGCCGTCGTCGACATCAGCGTAATCTTCTTGTTTTTCTTCTTTTTCCCTCCCCCTGTGGTTGTACCTGCAGCATTGGTACTACTACTGGGCCCGTTTCTGTCCATATTAGTTGTGGTAGCAAATATTTGGCGCTCTTGCTCCGCTATCAACTCTCGCTCCCAGTCCTGCAGCCATCCATCATTCGGTTCGCGGTCAGGGTTCCTATATGTAGCCCGTGGTGAGGTTGGGGCGATAGCTGCCGTGCCCCAAACTGTCCGATGAGCCGTATTTCTAGTAGACGACGAGTCAGGCGGACTTCCGGAGGGAGATGCCAGCGCGGTAAAGGATGGTCGATTTATGCCTCTCGACGAGGACCAAGGGGGTGAGGCGGAAGACATATTCGGGTCGAAGCCGGATCCCGGCCCTGACGAAGGTTCGAGACTAAGGGGTTGGAAATCGTTCTCGGAAAATGGCCGATCGGCGGAGGTTATGCTTGGTCGCTTCCGTCGAGCTGCAGCCCAACGCTGTTCATCTTCATTCTTTTCAGCACGGATGCGTTCCTTTTCCTCCCGTGCGGCCTTTTCTCGGTTCCGTTTTCGTCGTCGCTCAATATCGTCACGGAATTTGTCGAGTACGTCCGGGCCTACTATATCTCTCCAATCGCATTCCAGAAAGCTAACTTCACAGCCATAAGGGAGGTGACCGAGATATTTCGTGCGTTTTCGCAGATCCTCGTCTACAATGTGCCCCGACGATATGCGTTCTATTCGAGGAAGGATTGTTGAGGGGAATTGTGAGTAGTCCCCAAAGGCAGTCTTGAGGATACGGATGTCTAATGGAGAGAGGTAGAAGTGGGGGAGTGCTTGATAGAAGAAGAAAGGATGATCAGAGGGGTGCACGGCGCCATCGGTGTCTCTAGGTTTTCCTACACGTCTAGGCACTGCATCAAGATTGCTTTCTGACCTCCAGTTTTGCATTTCGGAGTGGTTATTAACCTCTAGTTTCGATAAAGCAGACGAAACATCGTCCATTTGGTCGTGATTAGAGGAATCATTTCGCAGGGTAAGCTGAGGATTTGACGGTGTATGTACATGGCTGGGTAAACTCTGTCCGGATTTTGTAGCATGTTCGATTTTATACATCTCTGGGACACCTTCCGGCGGCTCCTCGAATTTGATGGGAACTCTGGTCGGTCGGCGCTCCAGCGGTTGACGGTGCATGGTTGGCGGGTTCCCAATATCCCTAACCCTCTCCTTCGCGTCTTTTATTGCCGCGACAGCTTTTCGAGTCCAGGTGGTATCATCACCGAAAAGCAATTCATCTTCCCGTTCCTGCCGTAGCAAGTCTTCGATTTCACTATCATATTGTGAAGTCATGTAATCCTTACCCCCTTTCATGATCCGCGCATAGTCGGGTACCTCTGCAACATGATACCAGGGAATATCGTCGTCTTGACTAGGCGCCTCAACGCCATCCCGTGGAAGAGCAAGCGTACTTCCCGGGCGTCGCATCACCAACCTAAGAACAACGTCCCCACCTTCAACGAGTGGATCGGTTTGTCTGGTGTACCACCCGACAGGCCGCGTATCTGATATATAGACGATGTCCCAGCAAATTGGGCATTTCTTCCAGCGAGCCTTCTTTTCCGGAAGCGGATTCGAATCATCTGTCGAGTGCATGAACCGGATAAGACAAGGCAGGCAAAAGACATGTCCACATTTAGCCATACGAGGAGCAATGGGGGTCGAGAGACAGATCGGGCAGCTGGTCCTTGGGTGTCAGTCGAGACTAGAACTTGCAGCACCGAATTCCAATCAAGATGAATGTCTGCGTTAGTGGCTTGGGCATAGTAGTTGTTCTTGGGATTGACGATGAATCGATAATTTGCATGGACATATCTGCTTACGTCAGCAAATGTCCAGTTGACACCCAGCAGAGAAATGGGATAAGTATGTTAATTACCTAGCTTTGTCAACAGCATGGTACCCGGAACGCGGGCCCCATGTATTGTTGCGCCTTGGACCACGAGGATATGCATTGGGATTCTGTTGGGGTCGAGGCGGAAGAGAAAAGTTCATCAAGTGTGTAATAGAGGTCTGCCCCTTCCGGCTCATTGTAGACTTCATCGCAGCCTGTTGTCCCGACATGCTAGTTTAGAAATAGAAAACCAGATTGAGGTAATATATGAACAATACAGGGTGACGGAAACACACAGATTCTGCAACCACATCCTCGTCATCCAGACGAGGACGACGATGCCGTTTATGCTGATTCCTCCTACTCTGATGGTTCCTTGGAGAAGATAAGCTCTTGGATGACGACCCAGCTCCCAAGCCCGCTGATACCCTCCGTTGAGACGCGGTATCAATGCCCGGATTTGAGGCAACCTGCAACGACGTTGAAGGCTGGCTGGAGATGTTGACTGCTTTCGATGGGGCCGAAGACTGGCCAGGACCGGACGACATGATCCCTTGGGTGTCAGGAAGGACGCGCAGGACAGTGCAGTCGTCGATCAGGCAGGGGAACGACGACGAAGAACCTTGGAAGGGAGATCAGTATAGCTAGCTGCGGGGGAATAAGCCGATTGGCAGGGAGATCGGATGGGTAATTCTGTAGTTAGATGGATGTATCCCCCTAGCTTAGTAACCTACCTAGGTATGACGACAAGGCGTAGGAGGCAAGACAATAGAAAGACAAGAACCAGGAAGAAGTCAGCCCGGCAAGAGCCTGTGAAAATACTAGCGGATATCCCGGGGGTCCATTGAAAAGCCAGACCCTCCCGTGGACGACGCAAAGAAGCGAAAAGAAATAAGATGCAGAGGAAGATGACGCAGAAGAGATGAAGAAGAAGATGGAGAGAATGCGAAGAAGTTGACGCTAGGGCGAGGAGGGGAGGTCGGAGTCGTATCGTCACGTACGGAACGCTAATATAAATACGATTTATCAGGTATCAGCGTGTATAACACTGTATATAACAATACCACACGGTATTATACTGTCACAAACGGAGGCTTGAGGCTCGTGCTGACTCATCAGCCTCGCTCGCCGCCAAATCCTGCCTAGGAAAAAAAAATATAAAAAATATAAAATAAAAGAAGCACGACGACGAGGACAGCGACGTCTCCCCAGCACCTACGCGCTTATTCTATCTCTCCGCTCCCCCGGCTGTTGTCTGTGCAAAGCTGTGCTCTCTCTGTCTGCTGTGTCTGCTGTTAGCCTCCAATCCACCCCGCGTTTTCCTCGTCCTACCGGGTAACGAGGTGTGAGTCGGGTATGTCCTGAAAAATTCCCCTACGGTGGAGAAACAAAATATCTTCTGACGACGAACTATTTACTTCTAGCCTTGCACCCACCACTATTCACCACCACTACCACCACCGATCCGCATCGTTTTCTCTCTCTGTGGCCGATACCCCCCAACAAGCCCTCCGTCTTGATATATTTATATACTGTTCTTGTGGCTGCTGCTGTAGAGACATGGCTTTGTGATCGTGTGCAGAGCCGTCGTCTTCTCTCATCCCCCCGACAGCCCCTTTGTCTACTTTCGTATGGCTCCCAGATAGGTCAGGTTTGACTGCACAGTCAACGCAGTATCAGCGCGTCCACTAGGAGTTATCTCTACACAATCTGGGGGGCATGATGAACCATCATCTCCCCCCGATGCACCATGGCCAGCCGCCTATACCGGCTCCGAGAAGGCAGCATGAGATACCTTACGTGTCGGGGCCTCCCAACATCCGGTCCACCCCCGGCTATATGGGCTATCACCAGCCTCATGCCCACGCGAATGGCCCACCAACTGCTCTCCACCCAGCGCAAGCGCAACAATATCAGCACTGGTATCCTTACCAACAAGCCCCTCCTCCACACCCTCCACCACCGCAACAGTTTCAACCAAATACGCCTCTAATTGTTTCGTCCTACCCTCGTTCGCAGCCGCCTCTGCCTACGCTTTCGGGGCCACCACTACCACCACATTCACATATACCCTCACACTCTAGCACCACGTCTTCCACCCCTTTACAATCTTCATTCTCTCCCACGCCAACTCCTCCTTCAGCTCCAGGTTCAGCTGTTCAGAGTAGTCACGGGAACTTACCTGCCAGCCCTGTCGTCAGTTCTCTACCTCCTCAACCGGCAAGTTCAAACCACAGCAAGGGCAGCAGCGCTAGCCCTGTGCCTCAAATACACCCTCCTTCTCATACAGTACATGCACCTGAAAGAACCAAAACCGCAACTCCTCTATCAAGACAACTCTTCCAACCACCCGTATGTACTCTCCTCAAGCACTATTCCCATGGTTGAGTGCAAAAAGAACGTAGACGTCGAAAGCTAACCACACTTTTTTTTATTAGCTTCCTTGGCTCTCGGTTCCCGAAGCTCCCTTTCCTGCTAGGGCTCCCCGTCGACGACGGAAGGCCCGAATTTTGCAAACATCCACAGTACGAGTAGAGTTTTCAACGAACGCTGAACAATCTGATGTGGCGGCCGAGGAATGCACACCCATTGAATGTCACTCGAAGAACGCACCATCAGAGTTAGAAGGAGAAGCCCCTGCATCTCCTCAACCCTCCTCAGAAACGAGCCCCGTCCAACCCAACACTCCTTCGTCCACTGCTCCTGTTCAAACATCGGCACAGTCGCAACATACCCCAGCGCAGACTAGCGGCGCGCGGCAAGCTGCTCCTATTGTTCCTATCGTGCCAATAATTCCTTCCAGCCCCAACACAGCAAAACAACCATCTACCAGCACTGCTAAGACTACCCCTGAAACCCTGAAACGCGATGGACAGGTTCCACTCAGTTCCACCCCAGATGGGGCGCGGACGACGGATAATGCACTCTCGCCAACGGAGTCCGCCACCGTAACACAGGAAGCTCCTAAACCCACAACTCCAGTCCGAGCTCCCCCAAAGTCGTGGGCTGATCTTGTGCGAACCGCGGCACCTACGGCTACTAGCGGCGCCTCGCCCACAACTACTGGGATCGGTGGCCTAGGAGTGTCTAAAGGCGAATCTCTCTTTGATGTTATTAACAATCTAGGCTCCAACTCTGAACGAGATGGTGGCAAAATTGCATTTATTGAGCCGCGCGGGCTTTTAAATACTGGTAATATGTGTTATATGAATTCTGTAAGTAGCCCTTATAGTTCTAAAAATAGTTTTTTTCTCAGAGGTGCTAACTGTTTATTTATCAAGATTCTTCAAATTCTGGTTTTTTGTGTTCCGTTCTATGAGTTTCTTGACAAAATCGGCCGGCGAGCGGTTCATTCTTTTAAGAGCGATCTTCCACTAATTGATGCTATGTATGTTGTACTACCCCCAACTCCAGATATCATTGCCGTTATTACTATTACCGCTTCTAACAGCTATTCCGCCTTTCAGGATCATGTTTATGCGAGAATTTCGGGTAATTGATGCTGCTACCTCCGTTGAGAAATTAAGACTCCGATTGAAGCAAAACGAATTAGAGCTATACGGCGAATCATTCATTCCGGAATATGTTTATCAAGTCATTAGACATCTTCCGCGGTTTAGAGACATGCGGGTAAGTCTACAAGCTCCTTGCGCCTAGCAGTTTTGTTTCAGTCAAGCTAATGCCCTATAGCGCGGCCACCAACAAGACGCACAAGAATTTCTTGGCTTCCTGCTTGAAGAGCTTCATGACGAGTGCACCCAGGCAGTTAAACAAGCTACATCTACTGCATCTGACATTTCCACGGCCGTTGAAGCTGATTTCGTATCCGCAACGTCCGAACCTTCTGTGGAAGGATGGTTGGAAGTTGGCCACAAACAGAAGCCTGCAATCACCCGGTCATCTGGGCACATCTCTGCAGAATCTCCAATTACGAAAATATTCGGTGGAAAACTCAGATCAGAGTTTAGAGTGCCAGGAAACAAAAACTCCGTTACCCTCGAGCCTTACCAGTCTCTTCAACTTGACATTGGCTCTCCACAGGTCAACAATATCATTGATGCGCTTAAAGGCCTCACGAAGCCGGAGACCATGCAAGGCGACTTCAACTCGTCGCGTGGCCCCAAAGTTACGGCTACAAAGCAAGTTTTCATCGAAAGCTTACCCCCCGTCCTCATTCTTCACCTAAAGCGGTTCCAATATGATAACGTTACCAAGGGTACCCAAAAGATTTGGAAAAAGGTTGGATATCCTCTGGAATTGGAGCTTCCCAAGGAAGCCTTCCCACCTCATCGACGCAACATTATTTCTGCTCAAGGTAGCGGCCTTCCCAAATACCGTCTCACCGGAGTCATATACCACCACGGCAAAAACGCGAGCGGCGGCCACTATACTGTTGATGTTCGCAGGCAAGATGGCCGTGAATGGATCCGCCTTGATGACACTGTGATCCGCCGCGTCAGGAGCGAGGACGTCGCGAATGCTGGAAGTGAGGAGGACCCCAAGGTTCTTGCTGCGGCCCTCGAGCAGCACAAGATTGCGAATACAACACCACAGGGAAATATCTTCGAACAGTTCGATATGGAGCAGCAGCAAAGACATGAGAATGAGCAAGGATGGAGCCATGTCAACGGCCACACAAGCGGCAGTGGCAGTGGCCATGCAGGCAAGAAGTCCATGGCTGCTGTTGTTAACGGAACCACCTCGCCGTCAGGAGAGTCTTCGTCTGGCAAGCGGACGCCGAGCAGCAGCCGATATGGGTCTGGAGTACGTGATAACAAAGTTGCCTACCTCCTCTTCTACCAGAAGATTTAAACAAAATCTTCCTCATGAATACCCTAATTTGTCTGAACTCCTTCAAACCCCCAAATTCCGAACTCCTACCAACTCAACCTCACAACCTCAATGCCAAACCCGTGTCCCACACCCACACCTCCGTTCCATTCATCTATCCAACCTCCTCCTCGCCCCCTTGTCACCCCATCCCGTCTTTTCCTTCTTACCATCTGCCTACATGTATCTCGAAACCTCTCATATGAGCCAAATCCAGAGGGCGCGCGCCCCATTCTACCTAGGCAATGCATGAGATCTATTATATTACACTTGAAAATATGACAAAATATTGTTGTTGATGTTGATGATGATGTTGTTGTCGTTGTCGTTGTGAAACTGCATTGTTGTATATTGGGCGTTGTTGAAACGGAACGCAAGACATGGGAGAGAAAAGAGAAATAAAACTATATGCGCCGGAGGAGGGTAAAGATGAAATACATAATATGATAATTTTTACCGAGTTTATATGACATTCCTGCCTCTTTATTTACGTGACTTCTTATTTTCAAAATAGTAAAAGGAGGATACTGTAATGCTAACCGACGGGGGCTTATATGTATGTACTGCATGCACATTGATTACCGTACCTTGGTAAATACCTTTCCCTTAATTTGTTCCAAGAGAGAGCAGGAGATGATTTTTCTAATAATTAAAAATAAATAATATCCATTCACAAGCGCAAAAAAAACCTACAAATAGCAACAAAAAAAATAAATTAAAAATACAAATATCTCTCTATTTATCTCTCTATTTTCAACTTTTCTGTGCAAAATGCCCTGTAATGTGACCTCATGTGATATCACATGCACCCCATCAAATCCATGGATGGAACTTATCTCAGCGGGCTCAGACCCTCTGGCTCGTTTTGGGCGGGTTGCAGCATTTTTAATCCAGCATGACACTAACCTACTTTTGGCATAAGTCATGTGCTCAGAGCAATCCTTGTCAGAGAATCTGAGAAGAAAAGGTTTCATCTTCAATGAAGATTTCTGAGATTTACAAGAATTTTTCAGATTCTTCAACTTTGACTTTCTATTACTATATACTCACACATCTTTAAGACTTGAAAATCACCTTAGCTTATAGCTAAAGAGAAGAAGAATAGAAATATTTCTTTAATATTTCTAAAAAATCTATATTTAAGATAGATATATACTCTTGAAAATGATTATATTTTTTA